GTTTTAAATTATATATACGTCTTTCACACCTGATCCTTTGTGTAGTTTAAACGCTCAGTTTGTTTTCAGCATCCCTTTACAATCCGATTTCAACACACAGAAGTTCTCACTTACCTTTGCAGGCCTGCAGTTAGCCAGGTCTTGAAGATTCAATAAACTGGTGTTAAAATTCTACAGGAAATGATATTAAATTCATATAGAAGCTGGGCCTCATTGTTTCCAGGGGACCCAAAAAAAGTGATGAACCAGGCTGTGGTTCAATGCTTTGTGAAGTTCCATCACCACTGACGAGTAGCAGACTTCAATGACTTGACAAAACACTGAACTACAGCCAGGTTCATCACTTTTCTGCCTCTCCTGTTAGCTAGTGTTAGCACATGTCAACATGCTCACAGGGGAAAAGCTAACATACCAAAGTTTGGAGAGAAATGCTACCTAGTTAGCTGTTAGCTTATCTTCTATCTTCTTAACCAGCAGACTGCAACACACCTCTATTCATGTCTTGAAAATAAACCGGGCAACACTTTAAACCACTGAAAACCAAAAACATTTCACTCAGCACAGACTCACTTTTCATATTAGCTTCCAGCTGATGGAGCAGAGCAGCACACACACTTCAGCAGGCAGGTTACCAGGAAATGAGTCAGTGACTAATACATTCATATTGAAAAAAGTTCAATTTAGAAACTCTTTGAAATGGAAGAAAACCTTATTTGGAGACTGGTGAGGTGGAAAATAAAATGTCTGGTGTTAATTAAGTCACAAAAACCCTCCTGTACCAACCTGGAGGACATGATTCAAAATGGCGGATGATCCTCCTCAACACCTGGCAGGTGTGAACAGGTAACTGATGCGCATCTATTCCTGGTCTTACGGTAACAGTCCTTGGAAAAAGGGAGAAACGTTGAAAGTTTAATGAAAGTTATTAAAGAACGACTGATTTGATTTCCACACAAGACTTGAAATGAAATATAATATATATGTTTTTTATGGAAATTAAAGAGAAACCTTTTCATTATGGCTCTCATAATACATACATATGTCAATACAATACATACATTGTCCCAGTTGACAGTCAGTCAGGTACACCTCGCTCAATCTAATGCAGTTTAAATCAATGATCCTGCCTTTCTCAAGGTTATAATTGTCAGCTTTCATTGATTGATTCAGAGGGGTGTTGACTAAGCTGTATAATTATGAACTCAAATGGATTGGACAAAATAGTAGAAACAACTGTCAGTGTAATACAATCCAGTTTCCAAAATTACCATTAATTCAACTGTATTAAAGCTGGGTGTCCCTAATAAACTGACAACAGACTGCCTATCAGTTCCATAGTTGTACGAGGCCCAATGAAATAACCAATATTTGAACTTTAACTTAATGTCATCATTTTTGAGCCAAATGCCACATTCACATGCACAGTCGATGGAAATGTTTGGACATTACCTGGGTGACTCCATCTGCTGAGGCAGAGCGGGAGGAAGACTGGGAGCTCTGAGAGGAACTTGTGCTGGGTTCATGTTGGTAACCGTTATTTCTAATGTGAAGAATAAAGTTTCAGTGTCAAAATCTGAACCTCAGCGACGCTCTGATGAACAGACATGATGACCTCACTGCTCCGTCAGCTCAGGAAGGTCATGTGACACAGTTAAAGCTCCAGAATAGTCACCGAACTGACCTTGAGTTAAGATCGTTTTATATTTTTCCCCTCGCTAAATAGCTAAATGCACTGTAAAGCTTGAAGTCAAATATTTTCCTCTGTGAAATTGTCTCACCCGTTTCCATCCATTGTAATTATGTAAGTAATGACCATCACAGCCCCTGGTGGCTGCTTTGGCAGTCGGCCTTTAGTCCTGCGGCCTGATCAAGTCTGGCAGGATGCTGTTGGTTAATGTTCCCTGAGGTTCAGTTTTCCACATCAACAAAAATCTACCAGCTCCAAGCGTGCACCGCTCTGCAGCCGAGCCTGACCTTTGACCTCCATTAGGACAGACCAGAGGATTTTTCTAACTCTGTTATCATATCATTAACAAAACATCCATTGTACGAGCAGAGTTTTGTGTTGTGATGCAGAATGCTATTAGCTGCTCAGCACAGCAGGCAGCTCGAGGAGAGGAGCTTCACTGGAGCCTGACAGACTGATGTGCAGAGAGAGCTGCGTCTGAGTGGGATTGAAATGCTTTGGGACTTGTGCAATCTCATTTTGACAAAGTTTCACATGAGCAAGTTAGATTGTTACATTAATTAACCCAAATCCGCCTTTACTTGCAGCCTAATTGTCATATAAATATTAATAACGAAACTATGTTTTGCACTGGGATCCAGTTAAGACCACCTCCCCTGTGAGTGCTACTTTGTTACTTCCAATCTTCTTTGCTTTTACAAACAAGCTGATTCCTGCTGTGCATCACAGAACTCGAAGTAATTGGCAGTGAGTGGTAAACTAATTAAAACACCTCAGGGATCCCCGAGGTTGCGAGCACACTGACTGTACATGCAGTGGCCCCAGATTCAATTAGGGAGCACCATCGTTTGGCTACTGTTGCCTTATTGAAGCGTGTTATGAAATGGCTGGAGTCTGGACCAGAGATGATGGGCAGTGCTATTAGGAGAAAAGTGTAAAAGTAGTCTCCTTGAATTACTCTGTGAGTTACTTTGCCACAATACAAGAGGATGGAAATGGATCTGGGGATTGATACATCAGTGATCACGTTCCTACTGAGCTGTAGTGAAGAGGAGAAAGATATGGAAGTGCAGATTCAGTCTACATACTTTTAATTACCACTTCCAGACTCATATGAGGTCACCATGACGTTTGGAGGAAACAGTGACCTTGACCTTGAAGTGCGGAGGCATGAACAAAGAATGGAAGTAAAAACTATATAAACCCTGGAAGAGAAGTTAAAGGAAGGGAACAGGCGATTTTATATTGGTGTGGTCTATTAACTGGAGTCTTAAGAAGACCCACTGGTTGCTATAATGAGCTGATTTTACACTGTGAAGTCACATGTGCTGTCAGATTTGATCTAAAACCTCAAACAGGCGACGCATCCACTCAAGACCGAGGTAAATATCTTTAATCTTTAAGAATAATTAATGCAACGTCACTACGAGTTATGCTGCTTAAATGAAAGCAGGCATTTGATTATGGTTTGAGGGAGAGATGAGTGAAAAGTGAAGAGGATAATTAACTTTCATCGTTCATTTGAGTTTTCAGGTGCAGCTCAGCAAACATGTAATAATGATACAACCTTTCACTGCACGAGGTCTTTTGATAAATAATAATGGTTGGCTCCTGGCTGGCGACGCAGAGGAGTTGGCACTAATGGAGTTTACATTCCTCAAACCAAGGGTGGGTGTATACGCTGCTTCTGAATTCAGGAGGCAAGCAGCTCTGATCAATGTGTGTATGTGTGTGTGTGTGTACGAGTAAAAAAATAACAGCTGAGAGGGAAAACATACTTGTTATAAAAATTTTATTTAGAATAAAACAACATAGCCATATTACATGTAGTGTGGTCAATCTATTTTACATACCTCAGGAGAAACGACACAGTTCTGCCATGGTAGGGTTCATCATGATTGTAATCATCATTAAAACTACCACCACCATCATCATCATCAACATCATCATCATCATCATCGGTCTACAGCCAGAGGAGGTTATAGTAGTGTTGTTCAGTCTCACAAGTTTTACAGGATAGCATATAGCACAACAACACGTCGCAGTGAGGGACCAGTGCTAGAAGGCCAGTGGCAAAACCAACAACAGGTAGAGTGATACTCGTGGTCGCGGGCGGCTTCGCTTCAGCAGGCCACAGACTCATTGTGATACAGTAAGAACTTCTTTTTAAACTTGGTACCTCCTCGTTGCAGTGTACACAGATACAGTGAGCTAAAAGCTTAGGATGCTAAACCAGGTTGTTCATGTTCTGTAAATGATCACGACTGTTTTAAAACAACGAACCACAGAAACAAAACTGTGTCTATGAGTCTGAGGTAGCAAGGCAATCATGGCTTTCCTCTGATTTCTCAACATATATCTTTATTTAAAAAAAAACAACTATTCTACATAATGACGACGGGCCTCGGAACGAACCCAGATTCAGAACAACTTTAGATTTAAATCTACATTTTCCAAAAGGTCTCTCTTTGTACACAGTCCCACTTTAATTCCTTAACTGTCATCTCGTCTTCCGCACATGGAACGGACAAACTGTATAGGCACAGAAGGGGTCAACTTTACATTAACAAATCGCAGTCAACACAAAGTCTGTCGGCATATCAACGCTTTAAAGGGGAACTCGATATCAAGCATGCTACGAGATAGATCTTTAAAATAAAGCAGACACTTGTGACGGCATTAAAAATCATCCTTTCAGACACTGAATATTAATATTCAGTGTCTGTGTGTGCTCCCAAATATGGAATCAAATCTGTGGCTAATAGCGACTCGGGGCTGGAGGGTTCGAAAGCAGTGGAATGACATAAAAACATGTAACAGTTTGATTCCCAGTGAAGGCAAAACTTAACAAGAACAAAACACAAACCCCAAACCACCCTCTGAAAAACAAAAAGCAGGTTTTACTATACAAAGCCCTGTGCCATATACTCTTCTGTTTATCGAAACAAATCACTGACAAATGTCGAACCAAATTCAGGTACAATCTACAGTTCATAAAATTTACAATTTGCATAGTACAAGACAAGGTGGTAAAAGTAGTTAAGTTGTCCGGTCCTGTGCGTCTTTGGGATCAGGGTCTGGTGGGGGGGGGGTTGTTTTGTTTGGGAATGTTCCTGTCTCCTCCAGCACTCACTACACACACACACACACACACACACACACA